CAAAAGAAAAAACGATACCCTAATGAGCAATCAACACGAGTTTCGACAATCAAACAGCAGCTTTGGGTTTCTGCTATGGGCATATGATTGATGCATATGACACTGTAATATTGTGTATATTATATTATTAATTTATTATATTGATCTTATTTCATAAAGAGAAGAAAGTGAAGGCGCAGAGAGAAATGGGAGTGTGGCGGGCGCGTGCCTGATTCTCTCTGGTGTTGATGGGAATCGAAGTTTGCTGTAGAATCTTCGCTAAAAAGCGCTTTATTTTGTGTCCACGAAAAGTCAAACACGCTTTTAAGCAATCATAAAGATTATAGAACTAATTGTACGAAATTATACCTATTGTAAATATGGGTGCATAAGGGTTATCAATATTAAGAATTCCGAATTATGTAAAAGTGTGTCTTTTTAAGTTTATCAAGTCAAGTAAGTTTGAGCACATGAGCAACTCGTTTTGGTTAACGACTTTAATTACAATTTATAAATTTTACTTTATCATTCCGTAACATAGTAAAAAATTTTGGCCAGAAAATAAGTTATTGTTTTATATTATAAATGTTATTAGATGTAATTTTGGGGGCAATAATTATAATGAAAATTGATATATAAATTGATTTTGAAGGCAGTCGTTATTGACCTATCATCCTCAATTATTTGATTTCTTTTAAATAAAAGAAAGAAAATGAGAACTGATTTTTGAATCTAAAAAAAATGGTTAAATTTTAATTACAATATACAAAATAACGATTTTTTTTTTCGAAGGCTTTATTTCAAGATTAGTAATGATTGACAGGTAGCAAATCATGTTATTGTGTTGTGTTCATTCTCCACTATTGTGTTTTGTGTAATCAATTTTTTTTATTCTAAATATGATAATAAGTAAAAAAAATTATTTAATTTTCTTAGTTTGAAATTTTTCTATTGTATTTTCGAGTAATGTCTTTCATACCTATCATGAATTTACACGTGTAAATATGTTTTTAATCTTGTTGGATTCGTATTTCTGTGTCATGTTATTATCTTCCCTACCCCAAAGCCCAAATGACAAAAAGTTGTCACAACAGAATTAGTTAGTTAAATTTTAGTAATATACATAATAATCAACAAATAATATGTATTGAAAAGATTGTAAAAAAAAGAAAAATAAAAAGAAAAAAAAAACGAAAAGAAAAAGAAATAGATAACAATGTCGCACCAATAAACTTAAAATGCCAACCACAACCACTCAAGGCAACATTCAGCATAATATAGGTTTTTCTTTTCCCTCTTGAAACTATTCCAACATACATTTAAGCAAACACAAGTTTTTAAATTTCATTATTTATTCCACAAAATAACAACATAATCATCAATTTCTCTCTGGTTCTGTAATACCAGGTCCAGTATTAGGCTGCCCAGAAAATACATCCAACCTTCATAATCGGATAAAATAATGCCGAAAAGTATCAACCGGTAACCAAATCAAAAATTCACATTTCGAAGTTTTTCCTCATTAGACGAATTTTTTTCATATATTCCTTCGCGTGTCATATTATGGATGAGATATAAACGAGCAATTATTGTACGTGGTCTTTTTTAAATGGAGTCGAGCAATCACGTAGTGCTTCAACCTCTTTCTTCAAAAAAGATGGCAACGAGAAGGCAGCCCTATGCATCTGTAAGAAAACAACAACCAAAAAAAAAAAAAAAATTAAAAAAAAAAAATTAACGAAACTTGATCTTGATCCGTCATAAGATTCCTTAACATAAAAAATGTAGAAAAAAAAAGCCCAAGTAGATGTTGAAAGAGGTTTCTCAAAATCGAAAACAGAATCTACCAAACAACTTGATCATACAGATTTGGTTAGTATTTTCACCGAGTAATATTGTAAGTCGAGTAAATTATTAGTAGAAAAATTACACTTTGCCTACCTAACTATCCGGAAATTTACACTTTGGCCCACAAAACTTTCTTTTTACACTTTGCCTACCTAACTTTACATTTTTTATACACTTTGCCATTTCCGGCCACAAGTGACAATAAGGCACAAAAGATTATGACCGGGAATGAAAGTGTACAGAAAAAGAAAAGCAAAGTTAGGTAGGCAAAGTGTTTAGAAAAAAATAAATGTAGGCAAAGTTTAAATTTCAGGGTAGTTAGATAGGCAAAGTGTAGCTTTTCCATTATTAGTCATTCTTTGAACATACATATTTAATCTTGTCAATCAAGTATGACGATGTTACTTTAGTTTTTAACATTATCTTTCGTGAGTTATTTTAATAAATAAAAATATATAAAAGCACGAAACTTGGACACAACACAAAATTTTTTCTCGGGTCAAAACAGAAAACGAAGGTACCTCGGAATTGTAAAACTTAAGTTCCCTTCTATACGCAAGTGCATCCTCCATCTTCTCTATGGGGTTGATAGGGTGCACGAAATCCACGTGAGGTCCCTCGGTAGAGCATAAAACGAATCCTATAACTCCACTATAAACCAACATACATACAAAAAACAATAAGATTCATAAGCACTTCAACTTTAGGAAATCTTTTTAGTATTTTATTTATTACACATTTAGACAACATTAAATTACCTTGGATATGTGGGGACACTTGTCCACGCGTAGCGAACAGAACCCTTAAATATCTCGCGGCATATCGAAACCATGTCCTGAATAAGATGTGTATGAAGCCACATACTCTCTGCCATATTACAGAGGACGCCACCGGGTCTTAATGCTCGAGCTATGGTCTCGAAAAATGGCTTCTCGACGAGCTCTTGTGCTGGACCTGCAAAGAAGCAAATGGCAACCAATTTAACATTTAACGACGGCAAAAATGCATTTATGTCCTGTTGGTTTAACGTCATAGCAATTTAAGTCCCAAGTTTCCAACTTTTTAGCTTTTGCTCCTATGCTTTAATATTTTGCTGCAATTTCAGGACTCAAATTGCAACAAAATTTTAAATTACAGGACGTAAATTGTCAATCGAAAATCTGAGAACTTGGGAATTTGTTGCAATTTCAACCAAAGGACTCAAAACTGCAACAAAATATTAAATCATAGACCAAAAGGAGAAATATTAGAATCATGGGATTAAAATTGCTATAGCGTTAAAACCAACAGAGGACTAAAAATGCAATTTAGCCAATTAATGACCTTCAAAAAAATTATTCACTAGTCTACGCAGAGCCGAAGATAAGGCAATGGCCGCACATCACTTACCCACAGGGTCGGATGAATCAACAATAATTGCATCATACTTTCCTTCGGGCGTACGCCTCAGAAATTCGACAGCTGTCAAAATTTGTTACTTTATAAGGGCGCGTGTATAATTCGGAATGTGACAAACACTCTTCAACTTTCAAGGATTGAAAAATTTCCCGGGCATTTCAAAGTTGAAAAAATGAAACATTCAAAAAGAGAAAAAAAAAATACAAATTGACATGTAATTTATTAGATTTTTGAGTTATAGATACCATCGCCAACATGAAGGTGCACACGAGGATCATCGAAACCGAGAGCTAACTCCGGAAAAAATTTCTTGCTAACCTGTTAGTCCACAAAAGCACAAAATTACTTGACATAGGAAAATTTCCGAAAATGGCACTCTTCCATAGATAAAACTTATGAACAAAAAGAAAACAAATCACTCACATCTATGACCATTTCGTCTATTTCACATATATCAATCGACTTCACAGAGCTGTGTCGGGCAATTTCTCTAAGAACTCCACCATCACCCCCACCGACAACCAAAACCTGCTTTCACAAAGGAAGAATAAATACACTTTAAAAAAAAAAAANAAACACATTGATCATAAATCATAATTAGTAACTGTAAGAAGCTCAACCTGAAAAACCAGAACCTCCTGATACTTCGATCTCTCTTGAAATAAAACTTTTTCCACTTTCAAAGAATGTGCTTCTCCTAAAACGAGTGACAAGCTCATCATACAAGAATCTACTAAAAGGTCAAAGAGGTAAATCCAAAAAACCTAGTGTACTAATGCTTGGATACAAAAATTTTCAAAAAATCCAAACATTTTTAGCTCAACCACTTTTTTTAACTCAACTTTAACTCAACCTCACTATCATCAATATTATCAATATAATTAAATAATATCAATCAATCATTCTTATACACCACATTAACTTTAATTCACTATTCATCCACTCACATAATTTTAACTATCACTTCAAATCATCTTTCTCCTACTTACATCAATCAACTTTAATTATTTTATTTTAAATATTATTTTAATATACCCACTAACAACTAACCATATTACATTTATTAAAATTAACCAAACCAAACCAAAAAATCCAAACAAAACCAAAATTTTTAATATCCAAGCATCATTTTAAACTGTTTTTCAACGAACCGGAATAAAATAAATGAACAATACCTGGCCACATCGGGTTGTTGAAATACACTTGCTTAAGAGTTTCGCCTATAATCAATATCAAGAAACCCTTAGACTCATTGATGCCATTAATATGCGAAAGAGAAACTACAGTATGCTAGCTACATACACACACACAGTAAAAAAAGGGGGAAAAAAAAAGAAAAAAAAAATTGTACCCGATGATGAATTGGGCTCTGAGAACCATCCAGAAACAACCGTTTTATGACACCTGGCATCAGCCTCTGGATCGGATGCCTTAGCTTTCAAGCAACAAGACGGGATAATAGTGGCCTTGCTGGCACTAATGACACTATTCTCCTTCCCATCCATAGTCTTCCGGCATTCCAAATATTTTCCTTCGCCATCCGCCATGTATTACCCTTTTCTCCTGTGGATCCAGTCTCTGATTGGTAGATTNNNNCAGTGTATTAATCTCAAAAGGCATAAAATTATTGAAAGAAAGATGCAACTCCACAACAAATACATTACAAAGTGAGTATTGCCTTGATATATGAAAATGCAACGAGTAAAAATTTAATCACAAACCCAAAAAAAGGAAGAACTTTAGACACATGAAAAGTTGGAAAGATGATATAACCACAAATCTAAGACCCCAAAATATCAACAGATATATACAAACAAACATTTAGAATCGAGACACATAAATAAAACGAAAGGGTTGAGATACTAGCCAAACAAAGGAATATATAATTACGCCCCAATATGAGGATTAAACCATAGCCATATGACAGGTAAATAATACCACAAACCAAAAGTAGGGTCCAAACCAGTTTAACAGCACCTATTAGTGTCAACAAAGGGATCGGAAATCAAAAAGGTGGGAGCAAATAACAATGTAAAATTGGTACAAGTCAAAAAGCAGCAAAATATTCATCCAAAAATTGGCACCATACTCTTCATGCTATAATCTAATAATACGAAGCGCACTTTACTCTTCCATCATCCTTAAAAGGCTAAACAGAGTAAAAATCGAATACAACTAAATCACCATGAATGCATAACGAGAAAAGCTCCGTGCTTTTAACGCACCCAGAAAATTGAAGTTTTGCTTAAAACAAGATTAAAAAAATTTAACCTTTTTCACAGATTGTTTGCTTCGCAGACGAAACTGATAAATACAAAGGTCAATAAACCAAGTATGAAGCTTCCCCAGAATCACACAGCATGAACCAATAGATATGAAAGATTGCAATAAACCTCAACAAAAAAAAGACTGAGGGTTTCTGAAATAATCAAATAATAACCTACCCAGCAATTATATTCCAAAATAAGATTAGGGTTTTCTACAAAATCGAAGATTTAAGAACCAAAAAAAAAAAGGAGGGAATGCGTGTGGAGAAATGAAACATAAAGCAACCATAAGTGTACCTGTTGTTCGCTGTGGGAAATTGGAAAAAAATGTAGAAAAAATAGAACCGAAAAATAAGCAACGAGTTTTTGATGGATAAAAACTGAAAAATTCAAACAGAGACGGAAAAGGAAACCCAAAAAAAATTCTCTTTTATCTTTCTTCTCTGCTTTTCGCTTTGTGGGCGTGCACTTTCCAGAAGATGAAAGGCCCGAGTGAAGGAGAAAATAAAGATAATTTTGAATCTTTTAGCACTACTTTATGGGTTTATCCTCCTTTTTCTCTATACTAGTACATACACATACCCAGTGCCCAGGATAAAGATATTAAATGAGTTATTTTCATACTTTTGTTCGTTTAAGTCTAAAAAATAATAGAGTTATTATCTATTTTTTATCTACAATAGAATTATTATAAGTTTTTTTCCACATCTTTTAACCAGCGTTGTTTTTTTTAGCAAGAACATTAAATATGAGCATGTTAAGGCTAGCTTGTAATTAATATATTATCTCACTAAAATATTTATACTAATAAAAATTTAATTTTAGCATATAAATTTATCCCTTGATATAAGAGAAAGTAACAGTTTTACTTATTATTGTTCAGTATATAATATTTAATTATTACTTTATTATATAATAAAAATAAATATTATTAAATAGTGTAGTAGAATTGTTATAAAATTATATGAATTATTTTTTTTACAATATGGATTTAATATCTTTAAAAAAAATTGATATATTCTTAATGATATAATAATATGAGATACGGATTTACATAATACTATGAATTTATTCCTTAATGTTAAGATATTGAATTAGGTAATATATGATTCACTAATTTGTAATCTGTCTCTTTTTATATTGAAAATAATCACGTGATTGAGTAGAGATAACAATTATCTATAAATTCCTTCATTTAAGGAATAATTTTTAAATTGGTCCAAGTGTTGAATGCAGTCCGATTCTCTTGTAACTAAAATGAGAAGAGATTTTGAATTTCAAATTTTCACTTCAAAACCACACGTAAATTTGGATGCAGATTTTATTAAAAATAAAATGAGAAGAGATTTTGAATTTCATATTCATTTTAATATCTGTCGAAATTCTCAAAAATGAATTCAACAAAACCTATAATTCTAGGGGCATTTAATGCTACCATATTTTATGATTTAAAATATCTAAAACTTTCTAAATATGGTGTGCAATTAATTATTTTAAAAGATGAACCGCTTTTGTTACCAAAAAATGTGGGTACAATTTTGAATGTACATCCCGTTCTAATATCAGTTATTTTAAAATAAAAATTGCACGTGGTTTTAACCAATTTACACACTTTTTTTGAAAGAAAAAATTATTCATTAAGATTGGAAGAATTGGTTAGAAATTATACAACTATTTGTTTCGTAAATTTGTATCCAATTTGCACGGTTTTTAAATTGATTTGTATTTAGAATTGTTTTCATAAATAATTGACACATTTTTTGCATAAGAATCTCTAAATTTGTTACCAAAAAAGAGATGATTTAAATTTTGGTAAAAAAATAAAATATGATACGAAAAAAATGGGATTCAAATTTTTCCATAAGAATCTCCAAATTTGTTACCGAGAAAATAGGATTCAGATTTTGTTTCTAAAGATTTAACTGTATTTTTTTGAATTTTCCATTAATAGTAAGTCAAATATATATTTATTTGGTCAAACTTTCTATTAATGTATTTTTCCAACAACCTCTTTATATATATATAGAATATAGATATAGATATAGATATAGATATAAATATAGATTACATTATTTATTTTGTAATATAATTGTAATTGTTAAATAAATAATTAATTTGGGAGTTGGACTGACTTGTTAATACTCTAAAATATAAATTTTTATATATTTATTTTTTTATAATTCGACTTATTAAATAAATAGAACGAATTCAAATCCATTTAGTCAATGAGCAGCGATAAAGGCTCGAGCCTAAATTTGAGTTGAATATAAAAACTAGAGATTGGGCTTAGTTAGATTAAATCCCGATTTTATCCCTGACAAAGTTGACTTATTTGAAATTGTTAAAGAAAAATGTACACAAAATATGTGCTTGGCAAGAAAAATGTTGCACACAATGATATATGCTTGAATTTGTACAAAGGGTGTCATTGACTTTATAACAATGATGAATAATATTCAATTATAGATACATGAAAATTTGGAATCTACTATTTGTTCTTTTCTCACTTAAGGCCATCTAATTGGAAAATCAATCAACTAATAATGTTATTATTTATTTATTTGTTTATTCTTTGTTTTTGTTGATCATGAATCCTTACCCACAATTTTGAATATAAAAGTGATTATGCAAAGGCATCTGTATTTACCTATCATGCTTTGTTAATAAATACTTATATTACACTGTTAAATACTATATTTTATAATTATATTTTTATTATTATTTAAAATATGAAATATATTATAGTGAATACGATGCATATTTATGAAAAATGGGTATGCAGTCTAATATTGAGGACAGCCTAAGAGCATCTCCAACACACCCTTCATACCTACAGGAAATTGGTGGGTTGGAGGAAAATCATCTCCAATCAGCCCTCTTGTTTTGGAGGAAACTGTAGACTTGTTATTGTGGAACGGTTGCACACCGTTCTACTGTTCACACTCTATACATTTTTTCTTTTTTTTTTTTGCTAAACTAATATTGAGTTGTATTTTGGGCCAATATAGATGTATTGTGATTGAGCTTTTTTAACTACAACTTGGTTCATCGAATTAATTAATTTTATAAGTTGAATTAAAATATTTTATAATGGTTATAAACTTAATTATTGTAATCAATATGGTAGAATTTTAAGTAGTGTAATTAAAAATTGAATACCTTGATAGAATATTAATTAGTATTCAAATTTGCTTAAATAAATATTTCAAACAAACAAGTTAAAATCACAAAATAAGAATAAATACTAAACTCGCTTAAAATTAACGGTTCAAACACTAAGATTAAAATCACAACAGAAGATTAAATTAATGTTTGTGATGAACTCCATGTGATTTTATGATGTAGTGTTTAATTTTATGATTTTTATTTAAATTTATTAATTAATCTTATTAATCAATAATTAATATTTATACATAAATATGTAAATTTTATGCAAGCATAATGCATTAAAATGTAATTTGTAGAGATTATTTAATGAACTAATAAAATTAGAAAAGAATATGCTTGGAATATTCTTTTAGAGGGGAATTATAGAGAGAATGGGTTGGAGTTGTTGGCACTGTTGAAACTGTAAAACTAGTAGGATTTCACTGTAGAAACTGTAAAGATAGAGAGCATGGTTGGAGATGCTCTAAGAGATCAATAACTAGAATTATAATAAAATATTAATTAAAACAATTGCATTCGAGCAAAGGAGTATTGGACAAATCCTTTAATTTTAATTCTTGCATCATTAGAATAAAAAGACACAAAGTGTCTTTTATTGATGCTTTGATGATTGGATAATAAGTCCAAAGTTCTTTTATTTTTATTTTTTTTAAAGAAAAATCATGCTGAAAGTGTTTTTGTATTATACCCGTGCATCGCACCGATACCAACACTAGTATCGTTGGTAGAGGGACAAATATTGGTGATTTAATTAGCAATTGGTGATCTTGGTGATGTAATTAGCAAATACTAGTACAGAGCCCGTGCGATGCACGAGGTGCACAATTTTAAGGCTATTTATCCAGGCTTATAATTATATACATGAATAAAGAAAAATGTACATGATATATATAGTACGTGACCCGTGCGAAGCACATGATATATTTATTTGGAGAATATTATATTATAAGATGCAATATTGAATAAAAGTTTATAATACGCAAGAAAATTGTACAATGTTCAATAAATGTTTTATAATATTCAAGTGGAGTCTTAAAGTCTATTGTACATTAAGACTACTGACAAAATAATATTTTAATCAATGAGTTTCCTTTCCTTGTAGCCAAATTGTGAATGTGATTTGAGGAGTACAACAAATCGATATATAGCTGACTTGCTTTTTTCATTGTAGTTTTTTTTTTTTTTATAATGAATTTAAAGATATTCTAAAATATAGCAAAAATTAATTTTTTTATTACAATTAGGAATTTTACTAAATATAAACTCTCAATCTATGGTGTTAATCAACGTTTAAGTCTAAAAAATTNCATTTGTTAATTTTTTGTGATTATTAATTCTATATGTAAGGTTTAGGTGATAGACAATAGTTATTTGTACTTTTATCCATTTAGGTTAATAACTTTTAATTTTTTTTTAAAAAAAAATTGATTTTTCTAATTTTAAATAACTTTTTTATTTGCTATTAGTTTTTTAAATATAATATAAAAATATCATATTACATTTATACAATAGTAAATATTTTCATTATTCAATATTTAATATGTAAGCAATATAAATCAATTAAGAAATTAATAGGTAATCTTAAGATAAAATAATGAGTGGTTTCTAAAGAATTAAATGGACTAAAAAGCCATGTGTTTAATGTATTTTTAATTAAAAATTTGTAAAGATAATTAATTAATAACAAAAGATACTATATAAAAATTTAATGTTTAAGAATGAATACAATAAAAAAAAAACCTAACCGTAAGGTATTCCGTTGAAAATTCCAACGGATATTTCATTGGTATAAGCTTTAATTGGAAAATTTCATTGGATATTCAACAGAGATAACATTTTTTTTTATTTTTTTTTTCCCGAAACGATAGAATAACTATATAAAAGGCGCACAAATGTGCGGAATTACAAACTGAGAGGCTAGACCGAAGTCCGCCTAGAATCGCTGGCAACGCCAGAAGAAAACCTAACTCAAACAACTAAGCACAAACACAAGACTACTGGCTCCCCACGGGAGAAAAACGCAACTAAACACAATCACAAAACTAAAAAGCTCCCCTCCGAGAGAATGCCTAGGTGTTGGCTCCCAACAGGAGAATAAAGGTAACACCCAGGTTAACAGGGGCCAACGGCCCATACCAAAAACACAAAACACAACAGCAACAAAGACAGAAAACTCGGACACAACCACACGAACAAACATATAAACTACGAACAAAACATATAAACTACATACTAAAATGTCCCCCACAACAGTCGAATCCAAATGTCAGCCGAACAAACCAAAACCGAAGCCAGTTTCAGATAATCGAACCTCCGCCCACCACTGCTTAAGGCCTAGCAAGGCGATTGCTCGGCCATCCCACACTAACCAAGGCCTTAGCCTGCACTCCACACAAAAGAAGGAACAACCGACCCTCAGCCGAACCGACTCCACTCCAAAGCTGCCAATGCAGTCTTAGGTAGCCTCAACCAACAGGCCCGGCAGCCGACATAGAAGAGGAAAGGGCCGAAAGCCTACTATGCTAGGCATCGTCCAAATGACCCAACCGCTATCCATCTAATCAGTCCAATCCCCAAAAGCCTACCATCTGTCGCAGCAAAAGAAACCGAGCCAAAGCAGTAAAAGAGAAGCTTACCACCGTACGATGTTGCCGACCATCGAGGACGGAAGCTCACCTTCCCAGGCACAGCGTCGCCGGTGCAGAAGGACAGAGCCACAGATGACGGGAAGAGGAATGAGACCGAGGAGACAACGTCACAGCCTGGGACACCTTGACGGACCAAGCCACAACCAAGCTCGGCCACTGCGACCCTAACCACCGCAACCTCTGCCAAACACCATCGATCGACGTCGTCGATCCCGCGAGTCTGGAACAGGGCCAGCAAATGGATATAATCGCAATTCCGACTTGAGTGAGCGGTGGAGGCCGTCGACCGACGACTCCGGACCGCCGTTAAGGGGGCGATAGCACGGCGAAAATTTGCGACTAGGGTTGAGGGATTTTGGGGATTTTTGGGGACATAGTCACATAGAGTGTTTGGGCTTGGGTTCAATTTTCAAAAGTTTCAGTTGTACCAACCATAATAAATCTCAATAATGAGCTTCCAAATAATAGGAATAACACATTCTTTTTTTTAGATTAATCATTATGTTTGAAAGATTGATTTTTTGCAATAAATTCAAAAATAATATATCGAAGATGTGATCTTGCAAGCAAAGAGATTTTAAGGGAAAATCTTCTTTTTATTTGCTTATATATGTATATATACAAATCGGATTTTGTTATATTGTGTTTATATTGGAAAGATTTGCATGATCTTATTATATTAACTTTTTGTAGAATTTCAGACGTTTGCATGGACAATGAAGGCAACGTGCATGAGAGAATGTCCGCATGCGGCATGACTTGGAAAGAAGGTAAAGAAAGAGAGAACTTGTGATCAATAGGAAAATTCGGTTACCATATTTAAACCTCAAGCTTTGGAAGGAAATCAAAAAGAGAAGGAAATCACTTGGAAATGACTTCATGCCTAAGGAGGCTATAGATACCCGAGAACAGAAAAGAAAAGAAAAGAAAAGAAAAGCATGAATCCGGCAGATATTTGCACGACTCTTCGACTGCCAACACGGGTAAGTGCCAAAAGCCCCGCATTTTCACTACATTGGAATAAATAATAAAAAGTAGTATGTCATATAAACGAATCAAATTGAAACACACAAACAATGTGCACAAACTGATTACTAAACTCTTACATGGATACGGATGATCCATTAGCTGTCCCGAACAAACCCGACAAAAGTATGGCAATACCCTGGTGTATATATATATGTCCAAATAAGTTTTGAAAATAATAAAAGTATCACGTGAATGTTCATGAAGGCCGAGTTAAATTTGGTACTTGTTAACTTCTGGCTCGGTTTACCTGCCAGCCTATACCACGGCTGAGAATAGATGGGGGCAATGGGGTCGCACTAGCATATCGGGACACAGCAATAAAGCCACCGGTTGACTGAATTCAGCATCAAGGCCACAAAAAATAAGTCTAATTTAAAAAATATATTTGTATATAGTATAACTTCATGTTGGATAAGAAATTTCAAGAACTTGAGCTGCAAATGGCTTAATGAATTGGAAATTTTTGTGTGAATGGTCACAGACAATATAAAAAACAGATAAAATAATCCAATGTTTTCTGCTCATCTACTGTTTACCATTATTCAAACCCAACACAATCTGAAAAATTAATATCCGCACAAAAAGATAATAAGTTAAACATGAAAAAATGAACCTCAATAAGAGAGACAAATGCAGCCATCATCATGGCAAAGGCTTCACCAGCATCGAAAGAGGGAGCGCCCCACTGGAAAGGGTAAGGAACTCTAATCCTGCACATAAAAGCCCGATTGAATCATTATTGTTCGTTTTAATAGTCAAGAGAGAAAGAGAGATATCAGCATAAACTTCAAGAAATTTATCATTATTGTTAAATTATATTATATATTTTGCTGGATGGAGATTTATTTTTAAAAAAAAGGTTAAAATATGATTGCTATAGCACCAAGCGAAAAATGAAGCTTTACCATGGAGCGGCATTTATAAGACCTGAACGATCAGTTCTACAGCTTGTCTGGGTCTTTGGAGGCTTTCCATTGTAGGCCCCACCAACAGTAAGTAGATGGGCGTAAATCCACACAATCACAACAGTAAATATAACAGCAAAACGGTCAAAGATATTCTTCCCGGGGCGTATCAGGTGAGCCAAATACTGCAAAAACAGGAGAAATAAAAAAGGTAATCTTTAAACTGAGTAAAGTAATCTTTAAACCGAGTCTTTAAATGCTTCAATAGTGTGGAAATGGACTTTTCGGTGTTTAGGGGGGGGAACTGAATGGTGTGGTTTCAAATGTGTCACCTGAGAGAACAGAACCAGGAGGATAAGCTGTGGCAACCCAATTTCAATGCATTTGGCAACCTGAACAATTGCAATAGAAGAAGATTATACCAATTTGATTATTGAAAAAAATTGAAGAGACATGAAAAGAGATGGAGAGCTGCACTTACCCCAGGAAAACCGAACTCATAAAGCCCAAAGCCAGCAAGAGCAACCAATGGAACAGCTGAAAGTGGACTCAGAAATCTGCATCATTGAACATAAATCCCAAAATGAGACAAAAACATAAATCTATAACAGCTTTGTACAAAATGAGATACTTAGTTGAATTTTATTGTATCAACAAGCTAACGAACATATTGCACACTCAATAACAAACAGCATTAACAAAGTGACCTCCGGGCATCATTCCATGGGAATAGAATACAGTTGTAAGAAATGACACAGCTCTTTGACATAGAATTAGATAAAACTATGGCACTCATATCCAAAACGGGAGTAGAGAAAAAACCTTGCAACATTACGCCACAAGCCACTGAAACCGAGCACAATTTGAATGGTTGATGCCACAATAAGTGCACCTTGGCTGGCCCTCATTATCTTCTTGAACCTCTGCATGATATTAAAATTTAAAACAAACATATATGTATATATATTAGGAGGTTTCACCACGTAAAACAATATTTATAACCCTTTCTGAAGTTTGATGAAGTTTTAGCAATTACTTCGTGTGTGATTGTATGAATTTTAACGGCAGCACGATTGTATGTTGTGGAGCAACAATCTAAGGCATGAAAAATTGCTCTGTAAGCAACTTAATGGTTGTTAAAGCTAAAAGAAGAAGGAGTTATGCTATAGTTAGATTGAAATTCAAAATATTTTTAGTTAAAATTGAAATAGTTCAGCCCTTGTAGAAACATGACAACCAAGACAAAAACATAAAAAAGAAGTGCAATCAATGAAAGCTCATAAACCAAGAAAGTACAATAGTAATAGTAAAAAAAACAAATATCACAAACCGATGTGGGATCCGGATCACTCCATCTACCGGACAAGATAATCGAAATTGTGGGTGCAACAAATGTGTATGAACCCCCAATCATAGCAGGCAATCTCGTTCCAAACCATGTCTGCAAAAGGGTGTTCAAACCAGCAACAAACAACAGAGTCTGAATAACCTTAGCTTTCTCCTCCTGTATATAAGGAAAACAACAAGTGTGCAATTGAATGATAAAATAGAAATAGAATCAGAGTGAGAAGGAGAATTGTAAGTTATAAATTTAAATGGCTCACATTTCCTCCTCCCATTTGAGGAACGAGAGCAGTGGGTATTATGAGTCTATGACGGTAGTCCCCAGCATCACGAGATAGTGTTGAAATCCAAGAAGGATAGCTTCAGCTGTGAAAATGCAGACACAAAATGTCATAGGAGTTTAGAAAATACTCTACTACACTGCATCCATTTGAAGAACTCCATATTATGGCATTAAAAAGAATACAAATAACAATAGTAACAAAATACTCGTACACAAAGAGAAAATGAGTATTTTTAACACACTTCATTTCTGGTAACATCACAGCACACAAAGCTAACAAGATTTTAGAGTCACTTATGCACACAGTATGATAAAAACAAGCCCGTAACGTAGTGGTGTATAAAATCAGAACTGCATTATCTAATATTGACTATTCTCACTCGATAATAGCTGCGAATGTACACCAGGCCCCTCAAATTTTACAAGGAGGCCTGAATTTTAACCAAGCATACTCAATAATTAAGTATTTAAATCCTTATAAGGAAAGTGGGACTCTGCTCATCCCACAACATCTTAAAACTTCTTTTAGAAACACAAATGGAAAGTAGGGGGAACAAGAATAATCTGGAAAACTAAGAGAAGAATAAAAAAAGGTACCACAGGAAGTAGAACAATACAAGATGTTAATTGACCAAAGAAAGATAGTATAAGATATAAATTTGCATAACAAGGCTCCAATTAAATGTTTTGCAAACACTTCCAATCAAAACCTGAAAAGGAATTTAATCCAAGAATATACACACATAAAGTGTAAATGGACTAAATCGGCGCACCAATTTTTTTCCCAGCTAAAAGGGGAAGAGAACAACAGGGCTTAAAGATCCCTAACCATTTCTAATAAAATCTGAAACGAACAACAACAATAATATACTGAACACTAAAAAATAAAAAATAGAAAAAAAGAAAAAAAAGAAGTGGAAATTTCTTTAAGGGACTAACGCGATGGAGGAGGGCTTGTAATGCAGTAAGAAACATTTGGGAGCTGATCTTTTGGTGGGTGTGGCGCTGGTTCATCTGCCTTTGCTGAACCTCCACCTCCTGCCATTTTTTTGCTCTTATCTTTCTAGCTTCGATTTCTGAAAAAAGAAAAAGAAAAGTGAAAATAAAGACATTTCTTTAAGATTTACAGTATATGTCTCGCACTGTACAATGCAAAAACGCCCAAATCTGCAAGTAGCTCAATATCAAAAAAAACCCCACAAAAAAAACGCTGCAGATGTTTAGAAAAACTAATAATATATTGCAGAAGATAAGATTAAAGATTTAAAATAAGTAAATAAAAATGAGACCCAGCTAATATCAGCTTATGCTGCCAGAAAAAAGAACCTCACCACCACCAACCACCGCTTGTTGCTACTAGCAATAGNNNNGATTGGAATGGAAATGTAACAGAAGAAAGGTTAAAGAGAGTGTTGTGTGTTAAGGGAGTGCCATTATTGCAAGATAAATCAAAATATTACATTGGCAGTTAGAAAAAAAAAAATAGTAATGAGAATTTGAGAATTACGTATGAAAAGAAAGGCACTTAATTGTGAAATCAAGCAGCTTTTCAAAGAAGCAAAATCAAGTGAGAATGTTGAAAGACTGAAGGTGGTGAACTTTAGTCAATAAACGAAAAGCCCACCTCAACAATGACAACAAAGAAAGCTTCGCCAAAAATGAAAGGAGGGGTGTGCAGGAAAGTGAGAAAGAGAGAGTATAGTCAGAGAAAAGGGTAAAAGTGTGAGCGAAAAAGGAGGAAACTTTGGTGATGGTAATCAAGAAATTAAAAGCCTGAAAAAAAAATGGAAAATGAAAAGAAAAAAAGAGGGAAGCAGAAAAAGTGTGAAGACAACAAATATAAAGCTTCACTGTAATTTTTTTCCTGTGAACCCCTTTACCTCTCAAACTTCTATATTTAAGTAAAGAAAAACAATAAAGTAATGTTTTGTCTCCCTTTCGTTGGTTTGCTTTATATTATTACTCGCTAGCATGTGGATATGCTTTCTTTGATTTATAAAATAATAAAATTTTAAGAATTATTATATTTTATGAATAATTGTTCGTAAAATGTTTTGTTAGATGGTCCAAGAACCACATGCATATGATTGGGTCACTTGCAAAATGTTTTTGTAAAAGCTCGTTTTAGTATCTATTAGTATATAACAGATAGAAAGAAAAAATGTTTGAAAAATATTTTCACTTTTGTCGCTCAAATCTTTTTTTCCCCCTAAAATTTTATTTGAAAATTTTTCATACATGTTTTCCTTATTTTGGATGATATTCCTTTCATATTGGATAAATTCCAGTTCCTTTTGATTTGGAAAAACCGAAAAAAAGAGGAATGCTCAAATATTTTCACAATTGAATCTTTAGGAATCTGATTATATATATCATCAATTAAGATAACGATATCAAAAATAGCAAATATAAGTGGTTTTAAGAATCTCCACTATCGGGTATTTTAATCATATTATTTGTAATTCAAACAATTTTATAAGGTCTTATTTCCTCTTATTTAATTGAGGTCTTATTTTCAAATAAATTTGAGCATTCCTCAAATTCGATATCGTTAGTATTTGTGAGCATTCAATTAAGATAACGACAAATTATCTAAACACGGGTCTTATTTCCTAATTTAATTGAGGTTCCCGACCATGAAGACCATGTTTGTATACAAATATTTTCACTCAAAAAAGGAGTTGTTTTTGTTAATTATAGTTATTTTTTAAAAAAAAAAGTCTTATGGTTAGTTTTTAGTGGGATTTTGATTTTATATTAAAATAATAATTAATATAAAATAATTAAAATTGATTTGAAAATAAGAGAGAGAATATTTGAAGTGAGAGTTAGCTAAAATTATGCGAGTGGATGAATAATAAATTAAAATTAAGTGATGTTTAAGAATGATTTGTTGATATTATTTAATTATATTGATAATATTTATTATAGTGAAGTTGTGTTAAAATTTAGTTAAATTTTGAGTATGGAGTGAGTTTTTTTGTATACAAACACAACTCGAAAATTCATCCAAGTTATCTAATCGGGTATTTTAAGATATAATAATTCATATTTTTCATTGTTTGTATTTATTTTATTTTCATAGTAGATGAGATAAAATATAAAGAATTATATTTAAAATAAAGTTTAAAAAAAATTAAAAAATATGAGCTCATCTGTGCATCGCACGAGATATACACTAGTTCATTTTAGTAGAGGCATAAATAAATGATAAAATCATTGGTACATACCTTTTCTTGATGGATTTATCGAACAAATATTTTTCTTTTTTTTTCTTTTTGGAAATTTCTATTTGAAAATAAGTAAACAAATAACTCAATTTTTGTTTGATTTTCAAATGAGTATTGAGTATATAGTTTGAAAATGGAGGTAGGAAATTATTCAACGACATTAATTTGATGAAAAATGAATTAATTATAAAGTGACAATGAACATAAATTCTGTATCCCCTTATATATCATGTATTCATGTCTCTGTTCATTTTCTTTTTATTGTCATTTCCTAAAACTGATGTTTGGTATGTTTAATAAGTTAAGAGAATCCTATTTAGTTTACGTGAAATGGATGTTTAGTAGAATTTTTATTTATTTTTTTTCGTTTTATTACATTTTAATAATGTGGACAAATACATGAGTGAGGGAAAATTCGGTGCTACCATAGACAGCATAAATCGGTGGCTTGTGTCTGTTGAAAGTCATGTAGGGGCCCTACATGCCACGTGGTGATCAAACCTTTTGTTGAATTCTTTTGACTTATTACACGAGGTTGTTATTGTCATTTCAATAAAACACTACTATTAATGGACTTTTATAGTTGGTTGAATTGAGTTGTTATCCGCAAACTTAAATTTAGTTAATAGCTGCTATAATGATTTAAAGGGCATGTTTGTTTATAAATATTTTTTATTTAAATTGTTTTTTTTAGTTAATTGTTATTTTTAAAAAAGTTGATTGACTTAAACATGGCGGAACTACATGTAAGTTGCGGGAGGTCTCCTCCCAACATTTTTTTTTTTTTATTAAGTACATGTAAAATTATATTTTTACATTAATCCTCAGTTTAAATAAATAAGTTAGGCTTTGATAATCAACAGTCTTACCTAAAAATAAAGAATTCAAAAAAGAGTATTAGTAGAAGAAACAATTGGATCTTGTAAGTCATCATCTATAGATACGCTTGTATATAACTTAATATGATGAGTAAATTTAATATGCAGCACATTTAAGATATGAAATTTAATGTGATTGAACTTTATGATAGATGCTTATAGAAAATTTGAACATGAGATTATTCTTTTATTTTTCAGTATTTTTATATTGTACATGTTCAAGTCAATTATTAGTATGTTCCATATTTTGAGAAAATTAATTAACTCTAATTGCTAGAAAGTTTGGAAGTACATATTTTTTCGATTATATTGAACATGAGATGTTTTTTAAAATTATATTATTTACCGCCTCCCCCACGAAAATTTTCTGGATCCCACCCTGTACTTAAATTTGAGTGGGTTTTTTTATAATCAATATTAATCTGATATAAAAGTATGAGAGAAGTGATTGTTAGTTAAAATTACGTGAGTTGATGAATAATGAATTAATTTACGAATGATGTATTAAAATTATTTAATTATATTACTAATATTGATGATAATAAAGTTTAATTAGTTTTGAATTGAAATTGATTTTCTTATTGGTATTTTTATAAACAAGCTTACACTTACTTTTTTATCCTAAAAATGTTGGATTTGTTACACCAAATATAATATGTTCTGTGTATAATTTGAGAGTTAATCAATATACAAAATGAAAGAAAATCTTGTTAATGGAAGTAATATACTATATATTAAACTTTACATTAAACATAGAAAGTTAAAATGATTTTATTTAAAATATATACGTATATATTAGATTTTATATGTCTAATTATTATTTTTATTTGTTTGATGTTTTCAATTGTAAATTGATTAATTAAATATTTGTTAAGNAAAGGCAAGAGACCTCACAAAATTTTGTATTATCACTCTAAAAAAAAAGATGGACAATGAAGTATCAATGTTCCACTTTTAGAGCATCTGCAATGCTTTGGGTCTATTTTTGCTTATGTGGCAATTAAATAGAATTAAGTCTCAGATGAAATAGATAGAAATATTTAAAAGTAATAAAATTGACTCCAATTCAAAGAGACTATGTCTCTACTTGGGTCTAAAATAGACTTAAGGGTAGACTGAGTCTATTTTTCTTGCTGCCACATCAACACGACTCAGTCTATTTGTACTTGCATTGGAGAGTATATTTTTCTAGACTGTGTCTATTTTCTATGTGGCATGTATATTTTTCTTAAATGGACTCAAAGCATTATGAGTGCTCTTACATATGGACTCTAATTTTTGAGTTTTTTTACGAACATACCATTATCCAAAAAAAAGAAATCTTAAATATACCATTTATAAACAAGTATAAACCAACAAAAAAAAATACAACATAGAAATAAACGAAAAAATCGTATCACAAATAAACTACTCATAATTTCATAAACAATGAATAATATATTTATAAATTATAATTAAAAATAAAAAAAATCATAAACATACAAAACAAATAAAAGAAATTATTGATGGACGGAGCAATTTTCTATACAGTAATGCTAAGGAGCCAACTGTTGGCTCCGTTATGGAGCCAACAGCCAATGGGACAGTTCCATGTGGGGCTGTCCCACATGGCTCCAATGTGGAACTGCCCCACATGAAGTTGTCTCATTGGCTGTTGGCTCCTTAGCATTACTATTTTCTATGATTGGAAACCCGATTGAAACCCAATTATGAAAAACCCGATATCAGGAAAGAGAAAAAAATTAGAAGGTTCACTTATGTTTGGCCTTTGGAAACCCTAAACGAATTTGTAAGCTCACTCCACTCTCCATTCTACCACCGACCGTGGCTCGTGCCCTTAAGGGCTTTAAGGCGAGGTGTGCGAAAAATGTGTGGAATTTGTATTGTTTTGGCTGAAGGAGTTCAATATTACTGTAGCAGGACCGATTGTTAATGGTTTATGCCCAAGTATGGATTTGCTGCTTGGGGTGTTTAAATAAACAACTTGAAAAAAATTGTAATATAACTTTTTAAAGGTATATTGTTTCATATTTCATTTAGTATGACTTTATTAGTTAGTAGTAGCTAATATGTAACACAATAAATAAAAATACAATGAACTAATTAATTGATAATTGATGTAAAATGTAACAGCTTCTTTTCAGAATTAGTTAAAAAATGAGCGGAAAAAAATTAGTTTTTTGCATTAAATAATTTGCCAACAATCACATAGATAACAAATCTGAATTAGATAATAGAAATAACATATGATTAAATTGAAAATATGTAACTATAAAATAAAAGAAAATATAAAGGNTTATGCAAAAAATGTGTCAATTATTTATAAAAACAATTCTAAATACAAATTAACTTAAAAACCGTACAAATTGGATACGAATTTAGGAAACAAATAGTTGTATAATTCTTAACCAATTCTTCCAATCTTATTGAATAATTTTTTCTTTTAAAAAAAGTGTGCAAATTGGATAAAACCACGTGCAATTTTTATTTTAGAATAAAACTGATATTTGGACGGGATGTACATTCGAAATTGTGTCCACATTTTTGGTAACAAAAGTGATTCATCTTTGATATTTAAAGTCACCTTATCCAATTTATTAGGAAAAATTCTGTGCAACTTTTTAAAATTTAAATGCATCGATTTTTTTGGATTCTTATATTTTTTCTTAACCATGTTTTACCGAGATTTTGGTAAGTTCATATCATTTTTTTTTTGTTAAGTTCATATCATTTTCTTTAGGAGAGAGACAGTTGCATAAACATTAACAAATTGTTTCAATTTTTTATTAAAATTATTTTCAATTCAATTTGTTTGGTAAAAAAATTGGTACAGTTTTAGGAAAATTCGATTGCATTTTTAGGAAAAATTGATGATTTTTTATTTGGTTTAAAAAAATATTCGGATCAATTTGTTTGATAAAAAAATCATTTTATTGGCAGGAAAATCGGCTTCATTTTCAGGAGTAAATAATGATTCTTTTTAATATATATAAAAAGGTTGTTGGAAAAATACTTAAATAGAATGTTTGACTTATTAATTAATTTGTTTGACTTACTAATTTAGGAAAATTTGTTAAAAAGCACGTGCATTTTGAGTAAAAAAAATGAGATTTTAAAAGCAATATTCGAATCAATTTCTTAACAAAAAACCGGGAGGATGATGTTGAATTGTGGATGAGGATAATGTCAATTGATTCTTTCCGAATTGAAAGGTCACATGTGAAATATATACACCAAGGATATCTAATTTATTAGTTACTTAGGGAGCATGATTGTAGGTGATCAAAATATATCAATGTAAATGTAATATCAAGCCATATAAAACAAATTTCGTTATAAGTAATTTAAACATTCTTGGTAAGTTTTAAATTATTATATATAATAAATCCTTTGTTTTTTTTATATATTAATAGATACTACCTCCTTTTTTTTTTAAATGCCATTTTGACTTTATTAACAATTAACTAAATAAATGACGTTTTGGATCTTTTGTACATATTTTTTCATTATTACCCCAATCTAGCTAATAAATACACTGCATCTTTTCATATTTATTCTTCATCTTTTATCAAAACATCCATCTCTATCCTCATTAATGAGGGTTATTATTTACAAAAAAAAAATCTTAATGACTGTGCAACTTTTCAAAACGATACTTATAAAAAAAAGGAGGGAGTACTATATATGTACTTATATATATATATATATATATATTGAAAGAGGTTGATTAAAAAATCATTTATAGAAACTTGATAAAAAATTTGAGTCAAAACCTTTGACTTAGTTCTTTTGGAAATTCAATCTAATACTTTAAAATAACAATAGAGATTTACTTTAAGTTGAAAAAAAGTTCTCGCCTAAAATTTTAGATTTTACTACAATTGATAACTTTTTTTTTAAATTCTTTGAAAAATTGGGAGTTGATTTGTAATTTGAATTATAGCGCCGACGTTGGATGTGGCCGAGTCTATCAATGAGTACATGACATCATTGAATTTGTTGGATGGTCGTATGTACTTGAGTTCTGACAGTACATGCAAATCTGATTCTAATAATGATTTTTTGTCTGATCTCCATATGCCTGAGTTTTTTAATAGTATCAAGTGTTCCAGAATACCGAACCATGAGTTGTATTTGAAAATTAGAACTCCGGTCATGTTGTTGCGGAACATGGATCATTCTATGGGTTTGTGTAATGGGACACGACTGGTTGTGACAAAGCTATCCAGTCATGTTCTTGAGTGTAAGATACTCACATGAGATCATTCTGGTGATAAGGTGTTGATTCCAAAAATGGTCATAACTTCTTATGATGTTAGAATTCCTTTCAAGTTCCAACAGCGGCAGTTTCCCATTATGGTTTCTTGCGCCATGACTATAAACAAGAGCCAGGGACAATCCTTATCTCATGTTTGCTTATTTCTTAATAAACCAGTGTTCAGTCATGACCAGTTATATGTTGTTGTCTCACATGTCACTAACCGAAAATGTTTAAAAATTTTAATTTGTGGTGAAGATGACATGCCAAAGAATCAAACCAATAATGTTGTATATAGGAAAGTGTTCAATAATATATGATCTTTTCAGTTTAATTATATGTTTATATGTCTATTCTTATGATCATGATCATTGCATTATTACATAATTTATATACAAAAGTGCATTCTAAAAAGCGTATAGATAATAATTTCTCCGTGCATCGCACGGGTGATTACTAGTATATATTAATAATATATGTTTCTAATCGAAAATGAAGAAAAGACGAAATAAATATTATTACAAACTTTGCCTACAATTATATATGTATAGATTCTCATAACGTTCACAAATTTGTTATTTGCTCATCGAAAGAAGGATATACCAAGAACTCGACTACTAGCTACCTCAAACCGACCACAACGACACTCACATTGTCCCCACTGCCCCTAGAGATTGCCAACTCGGCTAGCACGCCAGCCGCTTCTTCAAATCGGTTTACGCCTTTCCTAAGCCGACCGGCCAAACACTTCCTTGCCACTTGGCACGCCAACTCATTAGAAACGACGTCCCAAAGCCCGTCACTAGCGAGTATTAGGAACTCGTCTGAGACTGTTCGATCGATGACTCGTACCTCCGGGTTCGGGATCACGTACGGTTTCAGATAGTAATCCCCTGCAACACAAACATATAATAATAAATATAAATTGGTAACGTTGGTGTAATGCAATAGATATAAAATAATAGAAAAATGTTACATGTACATAATAAATGTACACAGAGGTATACATAACACTCACATGGAGTGAGCTCCACTTGATTTTTTATTTTTGGTAGGACCCATTTAATGTGAGTGTTAACATCTTTATGTACAATATTAGAGCACCCACAATGCTTTGGGTCTCCTTAAAAAAATCACATATCATGTAGAAAATAGACTTAGTCTAGAAAAAAGTATTTCACAATGCAATTAAAGCTGAACCTAGTCTAGCTTATGTGGCAATAAAAAAAAAGAGATTAAGTCCACTCGGGTTTATTTTGGACCCAAGTGTGAACCTTACAATAGCAATCATTTACTATTATTATATTTTTGTTGGTTGTTAGGTATTCTAGACATTCTTTTGGCATTTTTTCAAAAAATTTTTAACGGTCAAAAGAGCCGTAGAAAATCGAGAGGGAAAGAGTAGAGAGATAGAGTAGAGAGAGAGTGTGAAAGGAAAAAACGTAATTGAGGAGGGCGGTGAGTAGTAATAGGGGTGACGATGAATATTAAACGAGTTTTGGATTTTTTAGCTTGGGTTTGTCCATATCATTATAGACTTAAGTCTATTTATTTGTCACATATGTAAAAAAAGATCCAAAGCATTGTAGGTGCTCCTATGTAGCTATAACATTTCTCAAAATAATGTATATATAATATTTAATTTTCGAATCGAATGTTTATATCAATATTCGTACATACCTATGGATCTTGAGGTAGCAAGAACACCTATAACCCTAGCGACATCCCAATTAATCACCTTCCCTCCACACGCTTCGATTCTCTCTAGTTCATCGACTCTATCAGGCTGCCAAATTCGAGAGTTCTTAACGTTAGAAATTATAAGGGAATTGAAAAAAAAAATAAAAATGAGTCACCAATTGAACGATTTTTAGGAAAATTGTGGTGATGCGAACGCGTTTACATACTTTCATACTAAAATTTCAAATTTTAATAAGAATATATACTTGAAATTTCATATTTTGGAAAAGGATATATATAAAAAGTGACCCAATGTATAAGTGCATTTTTATTCATCAGACAAATTTTGACCCGCCTAATGGTTGGCATGTCAAAATCATTTAGCTCAAATAAGATAAACAACTCTCATTGCCTTTTCACAATTGATTAACACAAATGTGATGTGAAATTGAGCAATCGTTATACATCGGTACGTTCTTTAAAATTATATACTTATCTTATCAAATATATATCACACACACATATATATTAATGTCATAAAGTATGACAATTAAGTGTTAAAGTGTGTATAAAATATTGAAATATCATGAAATTTTGATTAGAAGTTATTATACTTGCGCCCACTTATAATTAGAGACTCTAGATAACATGTGAACTTGCTAAACAGTAAATGCTGCAACTTTATATTGCACACTCCAAGGTGACAACGGAAAATAATCTCATATTTGCTGTAATACATAAATTTCTGCAGATAGGCATTTATACAATTTTTTAAAAGATGATTAATTTCTAGCATAAATCATACTAATTAGATATTACTATGAATAACAAGAAAAAAAAAAAGATAATTTGTACTACATAACATAAATATCGGCTATGTTTGGTAAAATTTCTCCTCATGCACACTATTATTATTATTATATATTATTATTATTATTTATTTAATTATTTACCTTGTGATCCTCCGACAGCTGCACAGCCGCCCCCTCGCGGCAAAGCACCGCCCTCGAGTCGCCGCAGTTCGCCACCACCACCTCCTCCTNACGCGCCGCCCGCCGTGCCCGTCGTACACGCCGTAAAAATCGTAGCTCCGCCCGAGCACCCGCAGAAACCCCGGCTCCGCCGCCACGGCGTCCTCCATCTCCCTCCGCCGTCCCACGAGCGACGCCGTCCCGTGCCCAGATCCGGCGTCGATTATACCTTCCCCGGCCGATTTCCCACCGAATTCGAGCTCCGATATCCTCCTCCTCGGCCCAACGGCGCCGGATCTCACCGCGGAGAGGGAATTCATCTTCCGCAGCTCCAGCCTCCTCCGCCGGCGACTCTTCGAATTCCTCCCCACGCTGTTCGTTCCTCTAGGTCGCAGATCTGGAAACCCGCCGCGCATGCGGCGGCAAACGCCCTCCACCGGCGCAGCCGGGACGTCCTTACTCGGCCCGTCGACGCTCATCCTCCGTTATTTTTTTCCCGGTTGAACTAATTATTATGTTTAATAAAAATGAAATGAAAAAAAAAAAAGAAAAGATCTTATAGTGTGGTCATGTGGGGGTATATAAATAATAATATTCCAATTAATTTTTTTCGGTCTAGAAGGGGGGCCCACCGAGCGAGCAGGATCCCGTGGACGGCTTACGTTCGTTTGAGCTGGACGGACGGTTGAGATTTGTTGGAGGAGATTTGGTGTTGGGCCCATTGAGGATTTGATGGGTACGTGGCGATTAGTCTGCAGGGAAAGTGTGACTATGTGTGTGTGTGTGCGGGGGCCACAAAATATGGAATTTTCAATTTTGACCGGGAGGACACGTGTTGGGACGACGGGTGATGAGGTGCGTTTGGCGCTTCGCACTATCGTGTCACTTTCTGGTAGAGTTGGGCCCCACACTATATTCATTTTTAATTTACTTTTCTACTATTAAATTACGTTTTGATGAGACCTCTGATTGGATATTGTTAAATATCGGTGACTTGCCAAGTCGCCCATAGAATAGAATAGCGGTTTGTGCATTCTTGATACAAACTCACCGATCAATTTTTTTTTTTCCCTAACTTCAAATCTAATCAAATTTAATTCAATCTAACCATCATAAATTTTATGGACCATGTTCTTGTTCTTCGTATCAATTTGTAATGGTTTTGAGAACTTTTAATTTTTATCTATCAATTATCGAAACGAATTTATTCATATAATCAATTAGCCTCAACAATAGTGAACAACTAACCATCTATGACCAATTTTTCTCAAATCGGCATACAACATTCATCTCTCAATACTGATGAATATCAGAACGAGTTATTATTATCAAATTGATGGAGCCCAAATGGGGTTCCATCCCAAAATCAATTGGTGGAAGGAGGAGTAGCCCATTAGCAGCGGCGAATACAGAATTTTTTCCCAGTCAGGGCAATATGAGAAGCATGAACCGAAAACAAGTTCTTTTGTGCAAAAATAAATACATAAATTTAAAAAAAAAAAAATCACTTCAATAAAAAAAAAACACAATCTTTAGTCAATGATGGGAAGGTAAACCTTCCCAAAACAACAAAAGAAATCCAAAATATAATACACCTGACCCTAACCAAAAAATCTATCACAACAACTAGAAAATAAAAAACTATCACAGCAACTAGAAAAGAAAAAACTATGACAGCAACTAGAAATCAGAAAATATAATACACCCTAACCTTGCCAGCTGCCACAGACAAAATCCACGAAACAGCACATCAAGAATGGAGATAAAAGCCAGTTACCAACAGCACTAATACTAGGTCTAGCAATTAGCATAAAAATCTCGATTGCTTCTTGATTGCTACTCAAAAAAATACATCGAAAAAAAAAAAAGAAATGCACACTTTAATAAATTAAATTGCGAATTAAAGGTCTAGCAATTAGCATAAAAATCTAATTAGTCTTTTGCTCCTACCTGATGATTCCTCTTCCAGACTTCCTCTGTTAAAAAAAGAAAATACAGGAAAAAAAAAAGGAAAAAAAGAGGCTGAAAAGTGAAAACTCCAAATAGAGAATGAAGTATAATTATTGGCTGACCTTGAATCTTGATAGCTCCTTTGAGAAGGGATTTTCTTTTCGATTCTATGTATGCCTGATTCACAAAAACCGGAAGAATCAAAGATTATGGAAGACGTTGAGAGATTGGGGATCTTGTGAAGATTAAACCCTTTTTTCTTCTGTCTGCGGCTGTGCGTGCGTGCGTAATGGGGGCAAAAATCAAGTTTTTTATTTTTATTTTTTTTTACTTATAAAGACCAAAACGACGTCGTTTTGGGATGCTTAAAAAAAAAAAAGAAACTTACCTTCATCTTCTTCCTTGTCCTCTGCGCGAGATTTGAACCTGGGCAGACTCTTTATTTTGACATATCCATACAATAATTCTATTAAAAATGGTAATTAGCAGCAAAAATTGAGCATGGGCAATTGCCCAGGCTCGCCTTAATGTCCATCCGCCCCTGCCCATTAGTCTTATAAGGCGGATCTATTTTTCATATATGAACAATGTGGGACAACTCACAAGTGATATTCTAACACAAATAATACCCTTTTAATCTATAAATCCGTGTGCGTCTTTGATCAAGGCGTATATCAAACCCCTGTGCTAATAATCAACCCTAACCTGGAAAGTACATTGAGTTAAAGGAGCGGGGATTAATGGGGAGGAAGCTCTGGTAGCATTGAAGGAATTTTACGTTTGATTCTTAAAATTTTTATCACTTTATTCACAGTTATTGTTTAATTCTTATGAAAGCATCATGTATATGAATAAGGGAACAATCCTAATTATGAATGGTTTCGTAGTTGTTTTTTGATGTGGAAAATCTTGTTTAAAGCCACATCATATATGCTACGTTGGAATTGATAATTAAAATTAATAAAATCACTTTATATGACATATCATATTGTGGCATGACTTATGCGTTCGTAGGGACGCCATAGAATATCTGATCTGACTATAGTCCTTAAAATTATTAATATGATTATCAATCATCCTCACACAATAAATAAAGCTTTAATTCACTATTCACTCACTCAGATAATTTTAACTATCCATTATTTCCAACTATATTTCTTTTAATTTTACATCAAATCAACTTGAGTCAATTTATATTAAATATTATTTTACTAGTTCAAAATTTCACTTAAATCTAATCCAACCAACTTTATCCAAAACTAACAATGGTTAATTAAAAAATCCAATCAACAAGATTTTTTTTTTCTCTATCCAAGCAACCCATTAATCACTTACATATGATGGTTGTTTTGAGTCAAAATAATAGTGTAATTCTACAAAAATATATATTTATAAAAATTAAAAACTTCCATTTCATTTATTTTATTTTTTAAAGCACAAATTTATTCATTAACATATGTTATGGGGGTGGCGATTGGCTAACTTAAATCCAACCCTATTTTGGTCGGTTTAACGTTTTTAAATATTATTAATATAATTAAGTAGTAACAACCAATAATAATATTTAAGAGAGATTCTATAATTTACATTATGCGTTCCCGTTCCATATGCAATAACGCGACAAATAAGCATGGAAAAAGGATCTGAATCCTAATTTTGAATGTTGTTTGGTTGTGATTTTTTGATTTTTTGAAATCGTGATACACACTACGCACCTACATTGACTTCCTTTTGTTTATTTAGTGCGCCTTATTTTTTCATTACGCCACAGTTGAGCAATATATTGCTTATTTTTTTACAATAATATCTTTCATTGCGCCTTCCATTAGGGTCATTAACCATGATCATTTCGAATTTCACTTCACTATGCTTTGGACTAATTGATAAATTCAGGTTACTTTGATTAAACAAACTAAACTATGTAAGCTTATCGATTTTTTTTCACTTCACTATGCTTTGGACTAATTTATAATTCAAGTTGCTTTGATCAAGACCTCTTTTATGTACTCATCAAGATAGGATGGGATAACATTCCTTAACCAACCTTATTCGGGGTTTACTAACAGGGATCGAGATTGAGGTAAATCTTATGTGTCATGTATGTGCTGCACACGCCTATATTCATGACTGATAGGATAATTCTATCACATCTTGACATCTTGAGAGTGTGATATTTTTATCCCAACATAAAAAAGATTCTTTGTCTAAAAAAACCACTTGTATAATGTCCATTATACTATTGCATGTCTAAATAATTACAGAATTAGTAAAACTGACTCATGAGATTAAACCATCCTATCCCATCCCTTCAAGTAAACGAGGCCAAGAACACATGAAGTATAAACAAACTAAACTATGTAAGCATATCGTTTTTTCTGGTCTCGGATCAGATTTGCCATATTGTTTCCAAGATAACTACATATAACATGAAACATGAAGTATAAAAAGGTCCAAGTGAAACTCTGTATGCAAATGTTACTTAAAAGATACATCTATACTTACATTTACATGAACATGAATCTAAAAGGAACTCACCAGTAGTCATCACAAGAACACACCCCATCCTTAATATGGTGAAACCTATTCGAGTCCCTCACCACAATCTCCCTCCCACTCGCAACCGATACGTACTTCATCGCGTTATGGCAATCGCCACAAACCCGAAGGTTCTTGAAAATCCGAATCGTCTTTCCTTTACCTGTTCGTATAAGCCCGTACGCCAATGCGATTTTCTCGCTATGTAGGAACAAATTTCGCTCCTTTTGCTCCTGTTCCTCGACCTCGTGCAACACGAAATTCGTATCATGCACGTAACCCATCTTCTTAATCTCGACCACCATACGATCCAATTCTTTGTAAATTTCATCGGCCTCCGAATGCTTAGTATCCCCAACGTAAAATCTATGCACTTTATCCGCGATTTCTATCCAACTACACCCGGCTTCTTTGATCAACTTCCTCTCCTTCATTCCCTTTCTAGTTTTCGCCGCGAGGTCCCATTGGCCGGCCGAGGCGTACAAGTTCGAGAGAAGGACGTGAGCTGACGTGTCGTGTGGGTCCCGCTCGATTATCATCTCGGCGGCTTTTATCCCGAGCTCAGTGTTCTTGTGGACCAAGCAAGCACCGAGCAACGTTCGCCAAACGAGGGCGTTTGCGGTAAAAGGCATCGAGTCGATAAATTCGCGGGCTCGATCCAAATGACCGGCTCTTCCCAACATGTCGACCATGCAAGCGTAGTGTTCCATTCTCGGTCTAATCCCGTGTTCTTCGTGCATCGAGTTGAAATGTTGCCACCCCTCGTTGATTAAGCCCTTGTGGCTACAAGCCGACAAAACCGCGACGAAAGTGACCTCGTTGGGTGCCACGCCACAATCGAGCATTTGTTTGAATAGTTCCAAGGCTTTTCCCGCAAAAGCGTGTTTGGCAAAACCGGTGATGATCGATGTCCAAGATATTACGTTTCGACTCCCCATCTCCTTGAAAATTCGAAATCCGGCCTCGACGTTGCCGCACTTAGTGTACATAGAGACCAAGGCATTGGAAATGTTTAGATCGGACTCGAAGCCCGATTTTATCAACCGGGCATGTATTTGCTCGCCTTTCCCGATGGCCCCGATACTCGCGGCCCCACTCAAGAGGCTCGCGAAAGTGAAAGCATCGACCCTGACATCGGAATTCTTCTCGATTTCATTAAAAAGTTCGAAATCCCCATCCGAATCCGAAGTCCTAGCATAACCATCAACCGACGTGTTATACGAGACCAAATTCTTCTCGAACAAGAATTCGAATGCTTTTCGTGCCTCTTCCATTTGGTCGCATTTCGTGTACATGCTAATAAGAGAGTTACCGACACAATTTACGGGAGAAAGACCCAATTTCACCGCGTGGCCGTAAATTTGTTCGCCGATTTTCGGATTGAAAAGATTCCCGCACGCTTTCAACAGGCTGGCGAACGTCAAATGATTCGGCTTGACTTCACCATCGATTATCATCTGACAGTACAGCTCAATAGCTTCATAGTCACGGCCTCCATTCTGAACATAACCCGTGATGAGTGCAGTCAACGACATGACGTTGTGGCCCTGCATCCGGTCGAAAGTTTTCCTAGACTCGTCCATAGACCCATTTACAGCACATTTGGAGTACATGTCCACTAAACCACAGCCCACACAGACATCTGATAAAAAACCATTCTTGATGACCCATGTGTGAAGCTGAAGCCCGACGGCTAACAGCCCCAACTCCGAACAAGCCGATAAGCAACTGCTCAAAGTGAAACTATCGGGCACGAAACCCACCTCAATCATATCAAGAAACAAGAGAATCGAGTCTAGAGGAGAACCCATTTGCGTAAACCTCGTGATCATCAGAGTCCAAGAAACGAGATTTCTCACCGGCATTTTATCAAACACCTTCCGTGCAGAATCTAAATCACCAAAACCCTTTGCGAACAAATCAATCAACGCGCATCCCACGCACACATCGGATCCAAAATGGCCCGTCTTCATCAGAAACCCAAATATCACGAGCCCTACGGCGGCGAATTTCCGATTGGAACACGCCCGAATCGCGGCCGAGAAGCAAAACTCATTCGGCCGCTCCCCGAGCTCCACCATCTCCAGAAACATCGCAATCGCCTGCGAATTTAGTTTACCGTGCGCATAGCACGAAATCATGGCGCTCCAAGAGACCAAGTCCCTTAACCCGCCCATGGAGGAGAATATCTCCTCCGCTTTCTTCCGGTCGCCGCATTTGGAGTAGAGGCTGATGAGCGAGTTGAGGACTACCGCGTCAAGCTCAAGACCCGATTCGGTAAGCTTGGAGTGGACGGCCCGGCCCGTTTCCAGGTTTCGGGTGCGGATGCAGGATCGGAGGAGAACGGAGTAGGAGGTGAGGTCTGGAGCGAGGCCGGCGCTGGCGCTGGACATGAGGTCGAGGGTGGAGAGGGCTTCGTCGAGGCGGCCGGCGTCGGCATGGCGGATCAGCCGGCTCTTGAGAGACTCAAAGACGGTGACAGCAGCGTTGTGGGGTCGTGCGGAGGGGTTTTTGCGGTTGGGTTTGATGGAAGGAGAGGCGGTGGGGAGTGGCAGAGAGAGGCTTATCATTATCTATGTTCTCTCTCTATTCAAGCACACTCCCGGTTTTTTGGTTTTTGATTTTTTAAATTTTAGGGGAATACAATATTTGCATGTATAACATAATCAAATATAATTTCATGTAAATATAATATTAATAAAATTGAACTTATTTAAATTTAATATAAATAATAATAATGGGAGTCTACTTATCCCAGAATTCTTTCATTAATTTCGGTTCCTTTTGATCCACAGTTCATGAAATTCGGTTCCTTTTAATTTATTTTATTTTTGTTTAGGACGAACAACAATTTTAGTGTGGAAGAGTTGTTTGTCCTATTTTTGCTACTATTTTTTTTACTTATTTGTTATTTTATTCCCCCAATTTTAGTTAGTTTTTCTAAAAATTTCAGTCCACCTAGTTGACTATCATGTATTGTCTTTTCGTTTATTTTTTTGTTTTCCTCTCAATTCGACGTTTTTCTTTTTTGTTGTTGGAGGTGAGCAAGTTCAAGTTGTTCGTCTATTCCTAGAGAACTCACTCCGTTTGTGTAGGTGACCATGCCGGTAGTACACATACATTTTCCCAATCACTCGCCCATCACGACCGCGATGAGCCTAGCACCAATGACCGGTGTCGTTCGTGAATGCATCTGGAGAGATTTTCACCTAGTTTTGAATCTGTATTTATTGAAAACTCGTGCCTAGCTTTGAGATTCATTCCCAAACTGTGGAAAACTCAACTTTTAGCATTTTCAAGTATTTGTCTTTGGATTTTAGATCTTAGAGATTGACACTCCAAGACGGTGAACATCTTTGGCTTGTATTTTCATATTATCACTCGACTTTGGATTAAGCGTAAGCTTGCATTTTCATATTGTATATGGATGTAAATTTGATATGATGAGCTAATTGTAATTGGTGACAGGGGATAATGTTCTAGTCCTTCTCATTTTCGTGCCTTTGAATTGTTCAACTTGTGCAAGTGCTTGATTCTTAGGGTTACTCGATTAATTACCGTCTAATCTAATTTAATACATGTTAAATCAGAAGGGAAGAAGTTATTCTACATAGGCTCACATAGGGGAGACTTGTTCGTAATTGTATTGCCTGTGTTATTCATGTTGACAATTTACCATCTATGTATCTATGTTCTAGGTTAGTCGAACCTCAACTCAACTGAATAATCAATTGTTTGTTATTTACCTTTGACTAGATTATCCCCTACTTTTTTTTTTTTTTTTCTTCTAACATAATTATATTAAAACTAAAAAACTCAAAAGAGTACACCTAAGAAGTCATTGGATACCACTAGAACCAGTACAAAGGCTGAAATACCCCCTTGGAATTACACAAACAACCAAGGGGCTACAAACTAACTCCAAAAAGTAGACTACAACTCCATAAAGGAGACTAAACCAGACGGAGTTGGACTGAAACTATAAAATTAAACAAAAAGCAAACAAAACAACTACTACACAAAACTAATTAATACAATAAAGCCCTTCCCGACAACCGTCTAACTACACCTACGCTACAACCTCCCAACCTCCTAAGACAAGTTGAAGATAGCCAACAGAGAAGAGCCCCACCTCAACCGAGAATATCAGACCAGAAACTCTACAATCCAAATCGGCTACGGCTAGCCAGATGTGAGATTATCCCCTACTCCTTACTCTATTGCTTATATTTCTTGTAACCAATAGCTGTTAAAACAAAACCCAAATTAATTTGAATTGAAAAATAATCTTTAGGATTTAATTTTATCTTCTTGTGCTAGAATAAACATACACCTTCATCTGGCTAGGGTAACTTGAGAAGCGACTCGGGGAATGATTCTTCTTAATTAACTCCAGTAAAAAGATGCCAGCTTCTTCTTGAGTTACTCAAAAGCATTTTTCTCCATAAATTCTCTTGTCGTGGCACTCATTGAAAGTTACCTCATTGGGTGGCAATACTCAAATCCATAAACTCTCTCTAGTCGAAAATTACCTCATTAGGTGCAATGCCACGATTGAGCATCTGTTTGACTAGTTCAAAGGTTTTTCGCGCCTCTTTTATTCTATCGCATTTAGAGTACACGCTGCTAAGAGAGGTACCGACATCATTTACGTTAGAAAGACCCAATTTCACTGCATGGCCGTAAATTTGTTTACCGAGTCTCAGATTAAAAAGATTTCTGCACGCTTTCAACAGGCTACTGAACGTAAAATGATCCGGCTTGACTTCACCCTCGGTTATCATTCTACAGTACAGCTCAAAAGCTTCATAGTCATGGCCTCCACTCTGAACATAACCCGTGATGATTGCAGTCCACGACATAACATCATGGTCCTGCATTCGGTCGAAGATTTTCCTTGACTCGTCCATAGACCCATTTACAGCACATTTGGAGTACATGTCCACTAAACCACAGCCCACATAGATATTACATAAAAGACCGTTCTTGATGGCCCAAGTGTGCAGCTGACGCCCGACGGCTAACAGCCCCAGCTCCGAACAAGCCGATAAGCAACAGCTCAAAGTGAACCAGTCGGGCACAAAACCTGCATAAATCATATCGAGAAACAAGAGGATCGAGTCTCTAGGAGAACCCATCTGCTTAAACCTAGTGATCATCAGAGTCCAAGTGATGAGATCTCTCACAGGCATTTTATCAAACACCTTCCGTGCGGAATCTAAATCACCAAAACCCTTTGTGAACAAATCAATCAGTGCGCACCCCAACCGCGCATCGGCTCCAAAATGCGCCGTCTTCATCACAAGCCCAAACATCACGAGCCCGACTGCGGCGAATTCCTGATTTGAACACGCCCGAATCGCGGCCGAGAAGCATAACTCATCTGGCCGCTCCCCAAGCTCCACCATCTGCAGAAACATCGAAATTGCCTGCGAATTTAGGTTACCGTGCTCATAGCACAAAATCATGGATCTCCACGAGACCAAGTTCCTTAACCCGCCCATGGAGGAGAATATCTCCTCCGCTTTCGTCCGGTCGCCGCATTTGGAGTAGAGGCTGATGAGCGAGTTGAGGACGACCGCGTCCAGCTCGAGACCCGATTCGATGAGCTTAGAGTGGACGGCCCGGCCCGTTTCCAGGTTTCGGGTGCGGATGCAGTATTGGAGGAGGGCGGAGTAGGAGGTGAGATCTGGAGAGGCGCCGGCGCTGGACATGAGGTCGAGGGTGGAGAGGGCTTCGCCGAGGCTGCCGGCGTCGGCATGGTGGATCAGCCGGCTCTTGAGAGACTTGAAACCGGCGACGGCGGGGTTGTGGGGCCGCGCGGAGGGATTTTTGCGGCGGGAGTTAGGGTCGGTGCGGAGTGGTAGAGAGAGGCGTATCATTGTCTTTGCTCTGTCTATCTATTCAACCTCACTTTCTCGGTTTTTTAATTTTGAAATTTAAGGGTAGTAAAATATTTGTGCATATGACAAAATAAAATCAAATTAAGTT